AATTTTAACAAAATTTTAATATAGAAAAAGTATATTATCTATGTAAACACAATATTAGTTATATTTGAATGATTAATTTAAAACGTAAAGATAATTTTAAAAAATACTTTTTTGAATCTATAAAAGAATACAAAATTTACAAATCAACGATCTCAAGAAGAATTTAAAGATGTTAAATAAATTATTTTTTATAATTTAAAGAAAATATCAATTATTTAAGAATTTTAAGAAAATAACTATTGTTTAAGAATTTTCTTTAATAATTATAAACTAACGTTAAAAGACTTTCGAAATTTCTTTAAAAAAATATTTGCCATAACCCGTATTGTTATCGCTGTTGAGTAAAGATATTAAAATTTCCGGGTAAAGAATTTATTATTTCTATTTATAGCTTATTTGTTTACAAACAAACAATTAATATTAATATTTCAATATTGAAGATAATTATTAATAAATAAATTCTTTTAAACATGTATTTCTTTTTCAATAAAATTTAATTTTAAATAAAAAGTGTTATAAAAAAATTTGATCTAATTTTTAAAAACTCTAAGGTCAAACTAGACCACAGTGATTTATGAAATTAAATAAATAATAAAATAAAAATTTAAACTTTAACTATCATTTTAATAAAAAGTGGTAAAAATAAAAATCGATCTAATTTTAAAAAACACTGTGGTTAACTTTCCACTGTGAATTTGGATATTTAATGGAAAATATTAAAACATTATTTTAATAAAAACAACTTCATTTAAATATAAGAATATTTTACGTTATCATCAATTAAATTAAATAATAACGGTAAAAATAAAATTCGATCTAATTTTTAAAAACACTGTGGTTGAACTAACCACCTGTATTTTAAGAAATTAATTAAATAATAAAATATAATTTTAAAACATTAACTATTATTTTAATAAAAACAACTTTATTTAAACATAAGAATATTTTACGTTATCATCAATAAAATTAAATAAAAAGTCTTTGAAATTAAATCGATCTAATTTTTAAAAACACTGTGGTTTAACTAACCATCGGTGATTTATGAAATTAATTAAAATTTTAAAACATTAACTATCATTTTAATAAAAGCAGTTTTAAATAAGAATTGACCTAATAATAAAAAGGCAAGAATTATTATAATTTCTGCGCTCATAATGAATAATAAAATTTATGTTCTGTTTATTAGAAAACAAAACATAAATAATTTGTTTTTTTAAAATTAAAAAATTATAATTCACAAAGAGAAATCAATATTTAATAAACATTTAGAAATAAAATAATAGTTGTTATTGAATACAAGAATATCACACATTGTAGAATATTTGTTATTCTCTTATATACGTTTAAAACACTTCAAGTGTTTAAAATAAATAATTATTGATTGTTTTACCATAGTATATCTAGAAGTTTGTTTATATTTCTATGAAATACAATAATATTTCTATAATTATATAATAAATTTTCACTCATTAAGTAGTAATTAATTAAAAATGAAATTTTTTGTAAAAATTTTTTGAAAAAGCTTTAAATAGGAATCGATCTAATAATAAAAAGCAGCTCTGCATTTTTACAAGCAGAGTGGCGTTTGTATGCTATTTTAAAAATTTTTAAAATATAAAACAAAATAAAGTTATTTATTGATAAAAAGTTTTAAAAGAAATAATATTTGTTTATAAAAAAACATGAAATCTTTGTTAAGTGCGTATGTTAATTTACTAAAAACAAGTATAGGAAGTGGTGTATTAAATTTCCCAAAATTATGTAAAACTTATGGATTGGGATTAACTGTGTTGTTAACGATCATATCAGGTTTATTTGCAACAACAGGTTTAGTTTTACTAATAATTTGTTCAGAGGAAATTGGAAGAACAGCTGATTTAAGTAAATTAGCATCACTTTCAATTCCATTTGTAAGGATTTTTGTAGATTTAGCAGTTTTTATGAAATGTTTTGGAGTTTCACTTTCTTATTTGATAATAGCAGGTGATCTAATGGTGTCAGTTGTAGTTAAATTTTCAACCATTCCACTCTTCAGTTATAAGCCATTTCTATTAGGAATTTTCATTTGTATAGTGGGACCATTTTGTTATTATAGAAAGATGGACAAGTTAAAATATACAAGCTTTGTAGGAGTGTTAGCAATAATATTTGTAGTGATAGCATCAATATGGAGGTTTTTAAAAACTCAAGTACTTGATTCACATAAAGTTGAGTATTTAGTGACACCAATCAGTCGTTCATGGTTGGGTGGATTAGGAAAATTTGTATTTTCGTTTACTTGTCATCAAAATATATTTTTTATTTACAGTGAATTAGAAGACAATTCATTAAAAAGAATGAAAAAATTAATTTATATTACAGCATCAACAAGTTTTATACTTTATACCTTATTTGGAAGTTATAATTATTTGTTATACGGAAATGAAACTAATGACAACGTTTTACTTAACTATCCTTCTGATAACTTAACACTGTTAGTTAAGATTCTATATATAATTGTTATGGCTGTTTCATTTCCTTTACAGATGTCCCCTGGTAAATTATACTTACTTAATTGTCTTAACATTAAACCAACTATCAGAGGATATAACACACTTTTATTTATAGTAACCACAATACTTTTACTCTTAGCATACCTTTTTACAATCAGTGATATTAAGTTAGGTTTAGTATATGCTATAATAGGTGCAACAGCATCAACTTTTATGTCTTTAATATTACCACCCTTGTATTATTTAAATTTAGAAGTAGAAAGAACGTTATTTTTAACAATAATATCATACTTTGCATTCTTATTTGGAATATTTGTATTTTTAACAACGATGATATCGATAGTGTTAGATATTTCAGTTAAAAAATAAAAAAATCAAATTTATTTTTTTTCTTCAGACTTTAAAATTTCTAGAGCCTCAGTTAAATCACCATTTGATTTTATTAGAGCTTTGTAATTGGATTGTGTATCCATAAATCCTATTTCTCTTAAAATAGCATTTTGAGATCTATACTTAACTAAAGGATTCTCCTTTATTGTTCCTTCAATAGTTTTTGTTTCTTTTTCAAAAATCTTAGAGCCAACATTAAATGAATTTGATTTCCCAAATAGACCAATTGGAGATTGATCAAATCCCTTTAAATAAAAGTTCATAGCATTTAAACCACCTGGCATTGTTTCTAACTTAGACATAGCAACATCAGCATTTCTTAACTGAGAATTAAGATATTCATCATCATCAGCCATTCGATTAAGTTCGTCTTCAAGGTGACCAGAATTAATTAAATTATCAAGTTCATGGTTATCTTCTAGCATTTCAGGGAACATATTCTTTATAGATTTTACAGTTTGAGGGTTCTTTAACATTCCTTTAACCATAGGATTTTTCATTAAAGACATCATACCACCACCCTCTTTCTTCCCTAGAATTTTAGTAGTAACATGCCTTTTAATAGATAATTCGATATCTTTATCAAAATCAATTAACTTATAAAGTTGTATATCATTAACATTTAGAATTCTGTTTTTATAGTAGAGAATACATTCATCAACCGGGATATTAAAAGCATTAGATACTAGTATTTTGAGATCTTCAAGTGTAATATCTTTATTTATTGATAATTCTTTTCTATCTCTGAGACCACAAATAATAATTTTATAGTTTTCTGTTGTCATTTGTTAAGGGGAATTTCATTTTAAAAATAAAACAAAAATTAAAGGATATTTTATTTAAATAAATTTATTTAAATAATAATTTATTTGTTTGTTAAAACAAACAAACATAATAAAGTATATTTTAATAATCAATAAAAAAACAATAAAAATAAAAAAGTAAAAAATAAAAAAATTAATAAAAAAATTAAATTACTTAATAAGGAAATAGAACCTTATAAATTAATATATAAACAAAATAAAAATTTAGCCCCATGAATATAATTATATTAATAAACAATATAAGAAGTTATTATGATGGATATTATGATTGTTATGATTATGGATATAGTATATCAGATAGAAATGTATTTGATAGAAATGTATTTGATAGTTGTTATGAATTAAGCATAAGTGACTTAATAAGTCAAAAATGTGAAACAGAAAGTAGTTCATCAAGTAGTTGTTGTGAACCATTTAAAGAAATAAAAACTAGATTTGATAGACAGACAAATAGATTAGAATATAGTCTATGTAACAGTCTAAAATCATTCTTAGATAAAATATATGACAGTTTTAATAGTGCGGTATCAAAAATGACATCAACAGATAAAGATTTCAGTGCATTCTTAACAACGAAGGCACAAGAATTGTTAGATAAATTAGTAGCGGGAGGAAAAACAGAATATCCAACTGATCTTGTAGGAAAAGTATTTCAGTATGTGAATGTGTATTTTAAAGAACAAACAGATCTTTATAAGAAGTGTTCGACAGAAGAATTCAAGAAAATGTTGTGTGAACTTTGTGTAGATGATTATTTATATAATTCATTTGAATTGGAAGACAAAATAATAAAATCAGCTGTCTACATCCTAAATAAGAATTTTGAAGAACTAAAAAGGAAATGTGATAAATTACAAGAAAATCTATTGTGTGATTTAGAATGCGGAGTAAACTTTAATGTAATGATAGATGTGTTAGTGACATTAAAAGAAATAGAAGAAGAATTTAAAATTTTTATAGAAACTAAACAAACAGAAATAATAAATGAAGTAACAACTTCTATAACTGCAGCATTTGTAGAATTTAATTTACAAGCATTAGAATTTTTAAATACTGTTTCGTTATCAATAAGTGAAATTTTAGTTAGTATAAGTAGTAGTTTAAGTAGTGATGATACTACTACAGACACTTCCACTACATCCACATCCACTACAGACACATCCACTACAGACACTTCTACTACATCCACTTCTACTACTGTAGCATGTGAAGACTCACTAACTACTGTTTTAGA